ATAGAATGGGTATGGAAGATTTCCCTCCATTTTTTGTAACAGATTAATTTTTATATCCATACCATCTGTTTCTACATGCTTAATTACAACTTGCCCTTAAATGGGTTGGGTTTGGTGGGTTCACTCATGGTAGATCTGACTCTTTTCCATTTTACTTTGGTTATTACTCTATACAGGCTTTATTTTCTTTAAAAGTAATTTGTATTTTATTTTTAAAACCATTCATTTAAAAACCACTTAAATTTATTATGCCTTCATTATGTTATTTATCTTTAGGTATATCCCTACTCTTATTAGTAATGTTTAGTATTTTATCTAATTTTTATTCATAGGGAGAGTTTCAAAGTATCTATTTACTTATCTTTTAAAACTCACTTCTTCAAAATAATACATAACCTTGGTTCAAAATCTAATAGTATTAAGAGGCTTATAATAAAATACAATAGTTTTCTGCCCCTTTCCTCCTCACTTTCCTGTTCTGTTTCCAATAGACAGCCAATTTTAACTTTTAGTTATTTCTTGTCCTACTAATCTGTTTTCTGCTATATTTTGATTAATTCATTTTAGACATTATCAGTTGACTCTATTATGTTGGGTTCTGTTTTAGCTCTTATACACTTTCAAGGAACTTTAATGTCTTCTTTCACTCTCAGTATCATTCTAAGAGCATTGCTGTGTCTTAATTATATTTTTTCTCACTTTTTTCTTGAGGTTAACAATTGCTTTGCTTTTTCATTTACTTGGTTTTCTTTATATATACAATGTATTCTTCCCACACTTCTGACTGCCTCTCAGTACAATTTTGCACATGGTTATTCCAATATCTTCCAAAATATCAATTTTCCCTTAAATTGGGTGGGTGGTATCTACATCTGCTGCACAGCTATCACTCTGGGATTTCCCTTTGTTATCATTCTTGGAATTGGAATTTTTCTTTGCCTTTTATTCGGTTGGATCTCCTTTTTCTTTTTCTTTTTTTTTTTATTTTGCAGCATTGTCTCTTTTATTTATTTTTTTTAATTTTATTTTTTATTACAAAGGGTATCATATGTGTCTCCATTTTTTCCCCCAGCCCTAGACAGTCCCCTAGCCTCCTCTATTCCCCAGTGTCTTATGTCCATTGGTTATGCTTATATGCATGCATACAAGTCCTTTGGTTGATCTCTTACCCCCCTATCTCCCGCCCCCCAACCCTCCCCGGCATTCCCGCTGCAGTTTGACAATCTGTTTGAGGCAGCTCTGCCTCTGTATCTATTACTGTTCAAAAGTTTATAATGGTCTCAATTATCCATGAATGAGGAGTGGGATCACAGGGTCAAATGGGAGTTCCATTTGTAGCTTTTTGAGGAAACTCCATACTGTCTTCCATAGTGGCTGCACCAGTCTGCATTCCCACCAGCAGTGCACAAGTGTTCCTTTTTCTCCACATCCTCTCCAGCACTTGTCGTTTGTTGATTTGTTGATGATAGCCAGTCTGATGGATCTCCTTTTTCTAGGATTTTATTTCTTCTTCTTTTGTTTGTTTATTTGTTTGTTTGGTAGCTTTCATAGATCACATCATCCAATAGTTTCATCCAATTAATATGTGTCAGGGGACTTGATGATATCCTTCAAAATGCCTTCTCAGACACATCCAACCTGGACTAGTCTATATTTGATACACAAGTGTCATCTTGGGATCATCCTTCAACATCACCTAGAGATTCATTTCACCTCTATTCTGTTTTTGATCCTCTTTCTATTTCTTCAGACTTCCTCTCTCTTAGATTACCCATTCATTTTCAGGTCTTCCAGTAGAGAATGGTAGATGAGAGTTAAATTATGATGTGACCTTAAGTGTATTAAATTATTTTAACTTTACCCTCAAACTTGATTGGAAGTCTGACTGATTATAGAGTTTTAGGTTGAAAATAATTTTCATAATTTAAAAATATTTTGTCAATGCGCCCCTTAAATCAATGACTGTTGAGAAGTCGAAAGTGAATGGTATTTTATATCTTCTATATGTGTCCTGTATTTTTATTTCTTGTTGTAGTATGTTGTCACTGTCCAAATTTAACACTGATGGGTCTTGGTTTGAGCTTATTTTCATCCATTGTACAGGAAAATTGGTAAGCTCTTTCAACTAGGAAACTAATTTCCTACAGCTCTTAGACATTTTCTTGAATTACTTCATTGAAATTCTTCTGCTTTTTTTTTCAGGGGCGGGGGGGTTAGTACTACAATTCAGATGTTGGACCTCTGCCATGGACACTTAATTTGTTGTGGCTTTTTTTCCCCTCTTCTGTTTGATATTTTTAAATACTTTTGCAATATTACTTGGGATATTTTCTTAATTCTGTCTTCAAGCCCTTCTATTAAAACTTCCATTTATTACATTCATACTTTACAAGAGCCCTCTTTCTGTACTTATTTCTTAGATGCAATAACTTCTTTTCTCACCTGTTATTAATAGCAGGTAGTTTATTCTTAAATCTTTAGTTGTTTGCTTTGCCTGTTCTCAATAAACTTTGATTTCTAAAATATGCATGTAAGTCTCACAATTTCTCTATTCATTCTTTGGTTCTTAGCTTAAATATCACTTTATTAAAGCTTACTATATCAGCTAGAATTACATTCTATGTAATTTCTACATATGAATATGTTCTATATAATTTCAGCCTGAAGCTATAGAAAAGCCCATAACAACAATAGCTTACACGATATAGACTTTTATTTTTCTCTCATAAAAGAAAACTAGTGGCTGAATTGCGCCCCATGATATCTGGGACCCAGTCTTGTTCCATCTTGTTGCTTTACCATCTTCAGAACATGGCCTTCACCTCATAGTCCAAGATAACTGTCTAATATCCAGCCATTAAATTTCTATTCAGACTAACAAATAGGAGAAAGAAAAGACTGCACCTTCCTTTTTAAAGACTACTTTCATGAAGTATTCCATGGCACTAGGGCTTAGTACCTCTCTCTGGCTGTAACTTAGTTACAAAACCACTCCCACTCACAACAGTGGTTGGGAAATATAATCTATAACACACATATCCACATGGGCAGCTAAAACATTGGAGGTATATTTGTAGTAAATAAGGGGAGGAGACATATATTTGAGTAAAATTAGTAGTATATATCATACCCACTTGGATCACACCTGTAGCCCCTATTGCCAGTAGAAACAGATAGGGTCAAATAAATTGATTTAATTAGTTATTAGCAGAGCATACGATTTTATTTCTTCATATTGGTGGTGTGTTTTGTAGCCAAAAGAGTTCTTTTTTTTTACTGAAAGCTTAGCCCTCAAAGCAATAAAGTAATAAATCCAATTGCTGGGACAAGACCCTGTGAATCAATGATGCTTCCCAAACATGTCTAGTATCTGTATCTATTCTATTTCCTTTTAAAACTTTAAAAACATCCTGAACCAAGGATGTGTTTGTTGATCTGAGAGAGAGAGAGAGAGAGAGAGAGAGAGAGAGAGAGAGAGGTGTGCAAAACTCCCATATATGCCCTGACCCTCATGGGGATCACCAGCATCCGAGGTATGTGCATGAATCAAACCCACAACCTTTTTGGTGTATGGGATGACTCTCCAACCAACTGAACCACTTGGTGAGGGTGCCCATTTTTTATGAAAGCCTGTAATATGGGGTAACAGTGTGTCAGGATAACAAAACTTATTATAAGCCCACAGAGCTTTTGAAAATATTTGCCAACAAGCTTTGACCTGAAGCTATTTGGGGTTAAAGAAATATAAATCAAGACGCAAGGCCAATCAAAGGTGCAGCATACTGTGGGAAAACCCTCCCCATTTTAAAGGACCCCACAGGCCTATATCAACAATATAAAAGCAGTATAACACCAACAACTCTAAACCTGACCCCTTCCTCCAACGCCAGGGAATTGTATAGAAGGATTCCTGGTGTTAAGTAGAGCAGAAGAAAAAGAAAAGAAACCATGCCTGGGAATTTGTGCCTAGGTTTGGTCCTCATGTGTGTTTGTATTTTGAATATTCATAAATTGAGTTTCAAGGAACCTCAAATCATAAATTTGGTTTGTGGTGGTTCCCTTACTGATAGTGCTTCTAGAATCCTGGCTGAAACTACTGAAAATCTGGACCATACAGCCTAGGCTTTGAGGACACCCTACAAATAAATATTTAAGGGTAATCAACCATATAAGTCACAAAAAATAAAGACAACATGAATAAGAAGAATCAGAAACAATGCAGCCAAAATTGATCCACACAAACTTCACACAATGGAAGTATCAGATTTAGAAACCAGTTGTACATAGTAAATATAAACAAATGACAATCTTGAAGATACCTGTGTGAAACAGATTGAAAGGGTACACTGAGTTCCAGGAAATAGTGATACAAAATTATCAAAATCAAGACATAACCTGAGGAAGACAATGGAGTTTAAAAGTAGAAAATAAGTAACCTATAGGTAATGAAAATAGGCTTCAAACTTAATCCTCATCGACATTTAATACTAGAATACAATGGAAATCTCTACCAGGTTCTGAAGGAAAGAAATTATGCCTCAATAATTTTATACCTAGCTAAGATGTTGGTCAAATATAAAGAAAACAATGCAGCAAATGGGGAAAAATAATAAAACATTTCATTAGCATTCATGAGACCTTATTGAAAAGAACTACTTAAGAATGAAATGTAGCCTACTTATAGAAAAATATAGTGAAACTATGATGAAATGACTAATGTAATATTTGATGTCAACAAATCTATGAGGAAAAGAAAGTTGACTGAAAAATTTTATGCCCAGAAAAATTGTACTTCTCAAGTATGTGAGAATTTAAGACATACACCATGTAGCCCTGCTGGTGCGGCTCAGTTCATTGGAGCATGCCCCATACAGCAAAAGGTGGAAGGTTTGATTCTGGGTCAGGGCACATACCCAGGTTACCCTGGGTTCTGTCCTCTGATGGGAGTGTATAGAAGGTCTTCTCCTCTCTCTCTCTCTCTCTCTCTCTCTCTCTCTCTCTCTCTCTCTCTCTCTCTCTCTCTCTCTCTCTCTCCTTTAAAGAACTACATCTGATGAAATACAGCAAACCAAAGGATGAAAAAATAGAAATGACTGAGGTCTGGGAAAGCTGGGATAAAATAACAGTGAAGACTGCATTTCATTCCTGTTTGGGCACACCAATTTATCTCAATTCCCTCCTGAAACCTCATCTAAGCAATAGAGAGCAAAAATTTAAAATAAATGGACCTATAAAGACAAAACAAATGGGAGAAAAGTAAACAGCAGAGAGACAAGTCAAGGAATGCCTTCAAAATGCTAGCAGCAAATAATTCCTAACTTAAAATTCTATACCAAACAAAATAAAAATTTGATTTTCTAACATCTGAAAGTTTCACATGTTCAAAAAATTAATAAATGTATTGCCAAATAGTCTTCAGAACTCAAGGCAGTAAACCAAAAAGGAGGAATACATAAAGTCCAAAATATGAAATTAAGTTCAGGAGACAAAAGAAATTCCCAGAATGATGGATAAAGCAAGTTCCAAACTGCCAGCTATACAACAGGTCTACAGAGCAAATAATAGACAATTGAGCAGGAGTCTGGATAGCTCCAGGATGGCTCCAAGAAAAAATAATGGAACTGAGAGATTTCTTGGTGAGTTTAATAATACAATGAGGAGTTTTAGACTTTAGGAAGTATAGGGATAAGTTAAAAATTTGTACATAGAAAAGTAACGCAAAAATGAGGCAAAGAAAAGAAACAAAATCTCAGTACATCATGAGGTTCAATTGTAAGCGATATTTCCATAGACATAATTATATAAACACTATTAAAACAGAATTTTATATAATATTGCTATGAGAGACGAGTGGGTAGAAAAAATGTGCAAGTATGTGTGTGTGTGCACATGCCCCTGAAGAAAAGTAAATGGATAATATCTAAAATTTGAATGAAAGCATTTTATAAGCATATTATTTAGAAATATGGAAGTAAATAGCATGGAAACACATGCTTCAAAAGGTGTTACATCTGTACAGACTTGAGTAATATTGAAAAGTTTGTAGCACCATATAACAAACTAAATGTCTACAGCATAAAATGTCTAAGCAATTATGAGAATTGCCCTTTTAATATACACTTTATATGTTATATGCATATACACTAGTATAATAAAAAGTCTAAAATAAGGTGAGAAGAGGGTAAAAGTGTAAGGTTTGACTTGTTCATTCTAAAGCAGGCAGTTAAATTATGTTAATATATTAATATTGTTTTTAACCTCATAGGGATTATTTAATTAAGCTCAAGCAAGTTCTATAGTTTCATATAATGAGTTCTACAGTCTCATTATATGCAAATAAAATCTGATAGTTTTCATTACAGAGCTAGCCATGCATTATAGGTCCAGTTTACAATATTGTTTCCATCTATTAATTTATGTTAAATCATAGAAATATTTTTAGAATGATGTCGACTTAATATTAATAACTGCTTTTGAGTGCTGGCATAATGATGTTAATTTGCTTTCTTTCTAATTGAATATATTTGAATCAAGTGTATATTAAAAGAATGAGAATCATTTACATACTCAAAACCATTTATTATAAAAAGGTAATCATAAGTCTACCAATATTTTTCTACTTTTTTCTATTTAACAGGAATTGAATCATTTAAAATTATAGCAGGTGGTCTAACTAAATGCTCTCAATTTTGAAAGAAAACACTCAGCTCAACTAAAATATTAGTTCATTTGAAAAACTACGGCAGTGTTTTTAAAACAACATTACAGGAATCAAATAATTTACAAGGTCACAGTAATTTTTGCATAAATGAAAATTATTTTTAAAACTAAAAGCCATCATTTACATTAGTTAGACTCATGCTGATGATAATCATTAAACACAATTCTCTTAATCATAACAATGTATCAGTGAACAAGCTAAAATATCAGGAATCTGAAAACATTTGTAACTTCCAAAAATCTTACCCCGAAATCCCGAGAAACGCCAGTGCTCTGCTATTGTAGGATCATGCAAAATGTGAGGGAGAAAACCTGACAAAACAACAAAAACACCTAGAGATTCAGAATATGAAATACTTCAACAGGTTGCAATAACTATAAATATGGCAATAATTATGAATGTGTGAATATGTAAGCCCTTCTGTGAAAGCAAGGGTTGGGAAATACCCGAATGTATATCATCATTTATCAGGTCTTTTCAAGATGATATTCCTGATTGAACTCAAAATTATTTGTAAAGTTAGAGTTTTCCTCGGTGTCCCTACCAGCCCCTTCACCCATAAACTTGCTGACAGTTGGTTTGAGGAACATAAACTCGCTGGTTCCTAAGCTTCTGTTCAGACACACCTCACACTGGTCCCCAGTGTGCCACCGACACCCAAAAGGGAAATCCAGGCTATACCTAAAGTTAGGATTTTTGTCCGTGACGCTCTCAAACTCTGTACCTGGAGGAACTAAAGATCTTACAAAAGACACTGCATCATGATGAGATTCCTAATTGAATCCGAAGTTATTCTGGAAGGTGGCGTTTTCCTCTATTTCTTCATTAGCGCCTTGGGGTAGGAGGTTAGGGATAATCGGCTTCAAAAATTTGAACTCATTGGATCCGGAGCCTCCCGTCAGACACACCTCATACTGGTAGCTCTGGGACAGGGTCCCGGTGCCGCTGACGTCCACAGGCGGCCCGGGAAAGGGGCCCTCGGGCACCGAGCAGCCACCCACCCAGGCGGCCCTGCTCCGCCTGCACAGCCGCACCGCGATGAACGCCAGCACCGAGAACAGGAACAGCGACGACACCGCCGCCAGCGCGATGACCAGGTGCACGGTCAGCGGGTCGGCCGGCGCCGGGTCGGCCGCCGCTTCGGGCAGCGGCAGGTGGGGCTGCGAGAAGCCGTCCACCAGCAGCACGTGCAGCGTGACGCTGGCCGACAGCGCGGGCTCGCCATGGTCCCTGACCAGCACCAGCAGCCGGTGCCGGGCCGCGTCGCGCTCGCTCAGCAGCCGCGCCGTGCGCACCTCGCCATTGTGCGCCCACACGCCAA